GTAGGGGAGAGCACCACCTCCCTTGGGAGCCCGTTCCAGACCATTAGTTGATTATGAGCTGACCATCAGCTGGATCAGGACCTCACAGGGGCTCCAAACACCCCCAGAGAGGTCTCTAGGCAGCTGATGATCAGATGATTGTTGGACAGATTGGGACAGCACCGGGACTCCAACTGGCCTCAATTCAAGCCCTAGAACAATCCCTGGAGCCTGTGTTTGATTAGCTGATTGTTGGCTGGATAGAGGCTGTACCAGGGCTCCAACTGGCCTTGGAGTGGTTCCTGGACCCAGACAACGATCAGGTGATTGTTGGCCAGCATGGACCACACTAAGCCAGTTCGAGCCCCAGTGCAGTCTCAGAGCCAGCCAACAATCAGCTGATTGTCCACCTGAAGGACTACCCAGGGGCAGGTTGGAGATCTCAACATAGTCCTAACCCTAACACATGTTCCATTTAAGGTGCAATGGAAATCAGCCACAAAATTAATACACATATTTTGTGGGTAATGTTGTGGCCTGTTTTCCATTTTACTACCCCACTATTTGCCTGAATGTGTGGCCAGGTTACTATTTAAGACATGATTATCTGGTTAAACTCATCTTAACATCTGCCTGGGATCTCAGAGAGAGGACAGTTGTTTTTTGTAGAATGAAAAGGAGCCACCCAACAAGTTTAGAGAAATTTGAGGATATTTCAAACCTTTTATTTGCTTGTGATACCATTGCAGGAAACATTAACTTATTGTCATGATTATATTGGGGACAGATTGAAAAGTAATTTTCACTAATCAAATCTGCATAAAGCCCTCAATGAGTCCTCTAGGAACAACTGCCACATCTCTGAAAACCAGGCCATGTTTTTATATGCTTAAATGTGTGTTTAGGTGACAGACTTTTGGCTGGAGTGACCGTATAGGATTCAAGAACATTAAATGGATTTCTTTGCATACTATGGCAATGCAACACCAGAAGTGATGGCCATGTGATAGCTGCCAAAAGGCTAGTCAGCCAGACAGAATCCATGGATTTCCAAAAAGCTGTGTATTGTGGTTTTGCCAGTTTGGTTTCCAAGAACATAGCACTGGACTAGGGAGCAACCGAGACTACAACTACACATACAAATGCTCCAAAGCCTTGGGGTACTTTTAGGACTCTTGACAGGGCTGTTTTCAAAGCACAGCTCAACATTAGCTATATGCCAAAAGAGTCTAATGAGCTGATACAGACACTCGGCAGAAGGTGGCCATCTCGGGGCGTGTCCTTCACTCAAGGCTTATGGTAATGCTTTAGAGCTAAAGTGGGACTTACGCAATGCAACCCTTATGCTAGAGGTCATTTTCAGACATGGGAATTCCTATCTCACTGTCCTTATATGAGGCCAAAACACAGATCACTGGCTCACAATTTCTGTTAAGCAGAGCTTCTGGTTATTTCCATACAGAGGAGTTATATTGGTGTTTTTCCAGTAGAGGGAGAGCTAACCATATATGTCTACATCAGGCATTAGAATGATTGGAGTTATCTAGCTATTTTAAGAAAATGTTTGCAGCTTTATTGATCCTCATGTGTAAAGCAGATAATAAGATGCTTTTTGTCGGACAAGATTAAAAATTATTGTTGGGGCAATAAGAGTTATCACATGGTTATTTTCTAGCTATTTAAAGAGATGGTCTGCTCAGGCAGGACAAGGAGAAAAGAGAACAGAACGTGTTCTTCAGCTTTACATTTTATGTCTATCCAATATCTATTTGGGGTACTTTAGAGGTGCTTGTTGTCAGAATATAACCATGATTGTACAGAAGACTTCAGCAACTACTTACCTTTAAACATGTCTAGACTCCCATTGTGGACAATCTTGCTTAAATATGAGCCTTCCTAAATCATGTGCTATACGCCTGATCCAAAATCCATTGAAATCAATGGGATATAGGATATCTATTGCTAGACCTTATGACTTCTGGAATCCCACGAGGACCTATTCTTTCTGGTCCTTTTCTATATCTTCATGCAGCCATTATGTAACCTGGTCAGGTATGGACTCAAATGCCAGGAATCTTTCTTGGATCTCTTGAACATATTTTAACAACCACATTCTGCCCTTGCAGTGGCTCTTGTCCTCCTGCTTTACATACAAGTGACCCTTCCTTGAGCAGCAGGTTGGACCAGATGACCTCCTGGGGTCTTCCCTAGATTCACTTTTCTCTGATTCTGTGATTCTTTAAATATGCAGATGGCATAGTTCTACTGACTTTTCATCACAAAAAACTATATAATTACCACTAAACCCTTGGACAAGAATGGCTTGTAAGTGAACAACAGTTACCTGAAGCTGAATCCACCCAAAATGGAGGTGATCCTGGTGGCCAGATTTCATAGCTAGGCAGGGGTCTGCTTTGATTGAAAGTATGTACCCAGAATTGCCCAATCCAGTCTGACCTTGAGTACTCTTGGACTCTTTGCTAACACTAAGCTCTCATGTTGCAGTATGTGCAAGTAACACTTTGCATCCCCTACCGTTCACAAATGATGACCTTCATCCACGTAGTTGCTGTGAGGACACTTGGTGCACTGGATCAGGTATATCACATTTTGGGAAAGGCATGTTTTAGGGGCCTAAACAGCAACAGTGCACCAGAGTGAACTCTTACTGAAAAAAAAAAAAAAATATAAAGGACAGAGATACACACACACACACACACACACACACACACACACACACTTAGAACAACCACTCCTTTTCACAACCACAACCTCACTATTTTTGTTCTCAAGGGAAATGTACCTAACACCAATAATTCATAAACTAGCTGGACACTAAGCACCAAGGACTAAACATAGATATCGGTTTTATGGCACACTGTATTTTACCTGACCCTTGAATTCTTTCCACACTGTGAAAGGTGTGAATAGCCCTCCTCCCTTTTGATAGGCCTTGATCACCCAGTAATCAGCTTCTTTTCTTCTGCTAATTGTGTCTCTGCTACCTCTGAGAATTTTTTCTCACCCCTTCCCACTGCTGTTTTTTTCCTGTGCTCTGTCTGGCTCCTAGTGATCAGACCTGAGGAAGAATGTCTTGCATTGAAAGCTTGTCTAACTTGATCCCAATTACACAGTTGGGCCAATAAAAGGGGTCACCCGAAGAAATCCTTGCCTCTTGCATCATTTCTGAACCATCACAGTTGCATCTTATCTTTTACAGCCAAAGACATTTGAATACATTGAAAATGTAAGCCTAGACACAGTGGAGTTGAAAGGCTAAATTGCTGGGGGCCAATTTCATATTTGTTTGTGAAATATAATTTCACCCTAAGCCTTGGTTTTGTAGACTTATTGTTTAATAAAACCACATCACCAAAGACAGAATTCAGGTGCTATTTAGAAGATCTATGGTTTCTGCATGCAGACATTAATTCTAGTTGTTGTGGATAAGACACTATAGAATTTATGATTTAGTTGGCGACTTTTTGAAGTGGAACAAAACACTGTATTCTTATCAGCAAGAAAAAAAAAAGAATGATTCCCTCATGCGGTTTGAACAAAACATTAAGGAAGTGGAGATGCAATTCACACAAGAGCCATCTAAATCCATTCAGCTGGAACTGAGAACAGCCAGTTATACATGTGACCAAATGTGTTTACAATGAATTAATCAGCCTCTGATTTTAGCTATGCAAGATTTTTAAATGAAGAGTTATACATCTTTTTATGATACACTTGGACGTACCTCAGCAGAAGAAACAGATTTGGCGTAAAAATGTTAATGTAGTGTCTGCAGAACGCCGTCTGCAATCAACTGAGACTTTACTAGGGAGTTTGCTGGACACAAGTTCAAATCCATGGCTTAATTCCTATGGAGAGTCCTGTTTCACCAGTATTTCCATTTACCCACCTCTCAGTGATTTCCCTATCCAAAGTTGTAGGGATACTTTCCTGAAGGTGACTGCACAACTTATCCTGTCTAAACCATTTCCAGCATTTCAAGCAAAGCAGTTGAGAGAATTAATTCAGGTCCGGAGGCAAGGATCCAACACACATTTCAGACAAGTTCAATTCATAATGTTATAAATGGAGCCATAATTTTTATATATCCCACTTTCAGTACATAACACCTTTGAGAGAGGTTCTTCAATCCCACCTCTAGCATGGTGTGCATTACTTTATGGCTTAAATCTTTCTCTTTCACACCCACTCCAAAGCGACCTAACCAATCAGTTAGAAATTGTTGATGTGCCTGATTGCACAAACCAGTCCAGCCTTTTATCTAGGAGACATAGCACAAATAACTTTAATTATATATAGCATGTTTCTGAGGCTATCAGGGGTGGGGGAAGATACAATGCTTTTATAATCTCACGAGATGCTGAGAAGGCATTTGACTGTGCAAAGCAGCCATTTATGCTAAAGGTCGGCACAACTTTGGACTGGAGACAGATTGACAGATGGGTTCACACAGCATGTAGAAGAGGACAGGATTTTAGATTTGAGTTGCATCTTTCTCATCCCAAATCACTTTAGAAAATAAAGATTTAGATTCTGGTGATTCAGTGACTGTGCAGGCAAACATGACAGCCATTATAAGCTGAGCAATAACTCAACCAACAGCTTTGGACACTGGAAACTATTTTATTGGAGCAGGCAATGTGAAAAAAATGATTTGCCATCTCCTTTAGTATTCTATATTGGGCATGGCACTTCCATCCTTCCTAACAGGATTCAACCACACAATCTGATTTGCCATATAGCAAAACTTTTCCCCAATAAAATATCAGACGCTCAAAAATTACATTAAAGTCTCTACATTAAATACAATTAGTCTCTTCTCTCTCAAAATTAGGAAGCGTGTTTGAGGTTGGTCCAGTGAACATTGCAATGATAAGACTTATTGGACTTTACCAGGTAAACAGAAACATGATTAAATATATTGCTTTACTCAATAGCCGGGAATCTGTTTCCAAAAGGGCGATGGCCTTCAGAATGTATCCTGCAGCTCTGTGGTCGGATTTATGCTTTTGTCAATGATTTACAATATTCGGCTGTGCTTTGGAGTCCAGAGATTTCGATATACTTCCTCTCAACCCTGGTACCACAGGGTCTTCAAGTGAAAAAACAGACTTTTCATCTATTTTTATATTAAACATTTACATTCCTAGAAGAAATGTGGTGCAGCTTGAGTAAGGTTTCTCTTCTGATTTGCTTGCTAGTCTATGTAATAACGTTTCAGGATACAGTTACAGCGCACAGTGAGTTAACAGGATTGTCTTCCCAGAGGTAAGTCCATGGCCATGTAACTTAAGAGACAGCTTTACATATAGACATTACTGCATATCAGGCAAACCTATCACTTCAGTTCCAGCCTGAAGAATATAGATATTATGTCTTCTGTAAGGAGTTACCAGAAAAATATATTGATAGTTATCCAAAGGATACGCTAGCAATTGTCCTTCCTTGTTATTTGAGGTCCCTGTATATGCTTTATTTTTTAAGGAAGAACTTTAATTTTTTTTTAAAGCAAATAATCTTATTAACATTACTATATTAGTTTTGTGTTAATTTCTCATCTATCAAGTGTTATTATTAAATATATTTCCCTTTTAATTTTACTGTTTAGCACTACAATTATTTTGAACATCTACTGCTTATAGTCAATAATATTATGCAGAAACAACACATATCTGTACACAGTCTGACTTACAATACAGTCTAAACGCACACCATTTTCTTGGTGATAATATTACATTCTAATATTGAATTAAACAGGCATTGAATATCTATCTACCTGTTTGTCTTTCTCACTTTTTGAATGTCATTTTAGCTTTTAAAAAAAAGGAATAAACACATGACGTTTCTTTTAAGCCACAGTTTTATGATAGGAAGATATTGGATGTTTCTGCAGCTGTTAATTGCAAACTTGTTCTGAAGGCAAATATGATTTAGAAGGATCAAAAAACGGTATCAGTGATAATTGGAACATGGAGGCAGGGAGGAAGCAGAAAGAACAAAATGCAGTAGAGATACACTTAATTATGGAGGCTTACTCTGGTAATCCCTTTTGGAAATGAACAAAGACGAGATTTTTGATGTTTGATGAACTTATCAAACAAGACGGAATAATGAAGAGGTAAATTTAAATCCAGGCGAAGGTGAGCCAATTAAATACTCTATGAAGTGCTGAAGAAGACAGCCACCAAATCCTACTGTCAAAAGTATGTGTGTGTGTGTTCCAGAGCTCTATGGTTGTCTGAAGGCTTCTCTTGTTTTCTGGCAGATCCAGGGTGTTTTTATCTAGCACACTGATGTCTATCCACAGGCTTCCTCGCTGAGCTTTTTGTGTCTTTCATTTAGTATTCTCTCTTCTACAGTTTCTGCTGAATCCCTAATGCACCCTATGCCTCCTCTAATTATCAATATTTCTCTTTGGACTGGAGTCTTTTCAGTAAAACAGACAGCTCATTAGTTAATCACCAGAATAATAATAATAATAATGCTCTGAATTAGAAATAACCCCCTGACATGTTTTCTGAGCGATGGCAAACTTTGGCATTTCAGTGCAGTACTCCTGGTTCCACAACACAAGGCGCTGTGTTACACGAATGAAAATGGTTGGTGTGCAAATCATAACAACTGCTCAATGATGAGATAAGAATTAGGGCTGTGCGAAGCTTTGGTCCCTGATTCGATTCGGCGGAGATTTGGCCTGATTCGGTTGCTGAATCTCCGAATCCGAATTGAATCAGAGGACTCTTTAATCTCTCCAAATTGATTCGGAACCCTCCAAATCGATTCGGAGAGATTTGGAAAGATTCAGCAATTTGGACATAGACACAGCTTTAAATGTTTTTTCTACATACCTCTAGGTAGCAGGGACTCTGAACCCTGCAACGCTGAAGCACATGGAGTGTCCCACAGGGGACTCCTCAGTGTGCTCGGCAGCAGACCCAGAAGTGTGGTCCACTTTCACGTCCACACAGGATCCCCCGCACCCCCGCATGCCCCCTGGCTATCGACTGGTGCCTCCTGGGTCTGGGTGGGCAGCCAGGGTCCCCTCATGGCTGATCACCAAGGGCAGGGGGGGCACAGGAGAGTGGGTTCACCGCCAAGCATGCAGAGGGCCCCCCTGCACTCCTGTGGGATGCTCTATTCACCCCATCATCACAGCGTTCATGAGCCATGCTGGTACCTCAAGGTATATACAAAGAACTTTAAAAGCTGTGCCTGTGTCTTAATCACTGATTCTCTGAATCAGCGTCGAATCTTCAGATTCGGATTCGGCCAAATTGAATCGGGGACAGTGATCCGAATCAATCAGTCACTGTCCCTGATTCGGGCTAAATCCAAATCAAATAGGGCCTACTTCACACACTCCTAACAAGTATCTTCTTGGTGCTGTGTACTGCTGCTGCTTACTTGAGTCTCATCCTAAATGATCTGATCTGATCCAAAGCCAATTGAAATTTTATCTAAGTAAAAAATGTCTCCTATGCAACATTCTGCCTCATCTTTTATACAAAGGACGGTTTCTACTGAATTTAGGCATATTTTGCACACTTACAATTTGACTGATTATTTCTACTGATTTTAATTGGTGACGCTGAAGCTCAGTTATGCTTTGCTGGGCCGATGTCAAGCAGTAACTTAAATTTTAATCTATATAGACTTGCAATGCCTTTTTGCCTTTGTTTATGGTGAAATTATGCTCTCTGTTGCCCCACATAACATACCAATTAAGTAGAATTAAAATCATGCATGTCCACCAGTGGCAAAGAGTTTTTGCAAGTATAACAGACAATAGGATTTAGCCGTGTTACATTTACAAGTACAGTGACATCATTCCATTTTACCTATATATACTGCAGTGTTATTTTCAGGCTTCCATAAAAGTTGAATTATACTATATTTTAATGCATTATAATGCCATGTCCATGCACTTGCAAACACATTTTCTTGACAAGTTTGTGATGAAATGCTGGGAGGAAAGGGCTTTATATTCCAAATGTTATCCTGCTGGCTTTCCTCCCTTCAGCAGAGGTTATTTTGCCTTCCTTTTCCTTAATCTTATAACTGCATCTTTTTGCAATGCTGCTCCCAACATTATCTTTTGCCTCCTATTTTATATGTAGCCTTCACTTCAAACTGTCCCTTCACTTTCATTATATATTTTCTTTTATAAGTAGTCTTCAAAAGAGAGCTAATGATCAAAACGTTGCTTCCTAACCCAACTTGTCACCTTGACAGCCATATTAAGTTTTCTTCTCCTTTTGCAGCCCACACGCATACAAAATTTTCTTTTTTGCCCACCCACTTCTAAATGGTTATGGTTATTTATTTACCAAAATATTTCTGCCTTTTACAACAGTATTACTAGGGAGGGATGGGGGTTGCCAGCACATCAGGAAAGAAGAGGCTAAGACACTCAAGTGCTGGCTTTGCTTCCTTCCCTAATCAATGTTTACCCGACGTGAACTAGCATAGCATCAATAATCTCAGGACAGCTATACCTATTCGCCACAGCTGAACAACATCTAGTCCAACTATCTCTAGTTCCTAGTTTCCCGCAAAATTTGCTCATGAAAATGAATATCATAATGTTTTTTGTTGCTTGGCTCCACTTCAAAACATAGACTGGTGTCGCTTACTCTCTTTAGAAGAACCAGAAGTGCTAATACTCCAGCTCCAGTTGATTGTCGACTGAGTCAGTGGTCAGAATGGACTGATTGCTTCCCTTGCCAAGAAAAAAAAGTAAGACTCCACTGTAATGTATTCATTTATCTTCAGATGTGCCTGTGATGAGGATATACACACATTAATTATATATATTATACATATTCATCATTTTTGAAGCATCCAGTAAACTTGTCCAAATATGATAAACACTTTCCTGTACTAGAAACATGGGGCCCGAGTCCCCCCCCTCACATACACTGACATCAATTAAAAGTAATTTCAGTGGAGCCGATTTAACTTACAAAATATAAAACTAGTTCAAGAGAGAGAAGAATGAGGCTGGAACATTTGGCTAAGATGTTCCTCCTTTTCTACCTGGGCTTTACTTACATTTCACAGTTTCATAGTTGGTAGGCTTGGAAGGGACCTAAGCAGATCATCAAGTCCGACCCCCTGCCATGGGCAGGAAAGGATGCTGGGGTCAAACGACCCTGGCTAGGTGATTATCTAGTCTCCTTCTGAAGACCCCCAGGGTAGGAGTGAGCACCACTTCCCTTGGAAGTTGGTTCCAGATCCTAGCCGCCCTGACTGGATCTAGCCTGAATCTACTCTCAGTCAACTTATGGCTGTTATTCCTTGTTACTCCCGGTAGTGCTCGGGGGAACAGGAACTCTCCCATTGCCTGCTGGTCCCCCTTGGCCAGTTTGTAGATGGCCACCAGATCCCCTCTCAGCCTTCTCTTGTGGAGGCTGAACAGGTTCAGGTCCCGTAGCCTCCTTTTGTAGGGCCTACCCTGCTGCCCCGTGATCATGCGGGTGGCCCTCCTCTGGACCCTCTCCATGTTGTTCACATCCCTCCTGAAGTAGAAGTGCGGTGCCCAGAACTGGACACAGTACTCCAACTGCGGCCTGACCAGTGTCGCATAGAGGGGGAGGATCACTTCCTTGGACCTGCTCGTGATGCATCTGTGGATGCATGACAAGGTGAGGTTAGCCTTCCTGACCGCATCCCCACACTGTCGGCCCATGTTCATTCTGGAATCAATAATGACTCCAAGATCCTTTTCTGCCTCTGTGGTGATGAGAAGGGAGTCCCCCAGCCATATAGGTATGCTACTGGTTCTTCCTCCCCAGGTGCAGTACCTTGCACTTGTCAGTATTGAAACCCATCATGTTCTCATCTGCCCACCCCTGTAACCTGTCTAGATCTAGTTCCTCTGACTCCTAATGCAAATATTCTAATAGAAAGTCCTTTCTTTGACAGCTCTGTTTTTTCTATTTTCTGTAAAATTTCATATATACCTATACCTTCATAACCTTCATAGCATAAGCCTTGGTCATAGCTTATATGTTATACTCACTTTATATTCCCAATCTCTGTTTCTGTATCTACAATACATAAAATAGATAGGGCCTTCTGTACCAGCGGCTCCTAAGCCTGGCTACTTGAGAGATAGGCAGTCAGCATTGCAGGGCTACAATTAATTAAGCAGCTGGGCTGGGGGCCAGCTGAGAAGCAATATTCAGCCAGGGAAACCCACAAAGGGTTAAAAGAGCATCAGGGAAGGAGGCAGTGATGGCAGATTAGGTCTCAACTGCAACATCCAAGAGCAAGCTGAGGGCTGAACTGCAGCCTAAATTAAAGCCTGGCTCCTAAACCAGAGGAGGCAGTCTGGTCCAGACCCCACTGCAGACAAAACTCCTGCTGGCCCAAATGCAACAGAGGGGACTCCGGGCAGCGCCAGTACGTGGGGAAGCTGCAAGAGGTAGCAGCTCCAGGGTAGCAGTGGCTGAAACCCTGGGAAACCCCAGAGGGGATTTAATAAGGTGTTGGAGTTGGCACAGAGTAACACTGGACGACCAGGTGTGGCTGAATGGGGTGGATAGGAGGCCTTCGGGGTGCCTGAAGGGCACCCAATTTAGAAACTCGGAATAGCAACACCTGCAGAGTCAGGGACTCAGAAGCATGAGACCAATTAAAGAGCCAGGGGGTGGCATATAAAGAGAGCAGCTTTGCCCTGGGTCAGGGGTGCTAGGAGGGCTGAGACAGGTTGTGAGTAACTTTGCATGGGCCAGGGATCCCAGGGGCCTAGAGATGTGAAACCCCTACAAAAGCAAAGTCACATTTGCGAGGCATGGACATGGCTGTAGGGGAGGCTGGAGACCACACATTTAGCCCTTGAAGTGACGAGGACCATCAGGGTTGGCGCCCCAAGGCTGAGAGACTGGGTGATAGGATCAGAGCCCAAATTAGGTGGGCCAAGGTGAGCCTGAGAAAAGAACTGAGTATGGAGAGAGAGCACCTAAAACTCTGAGGGCAGCCTCCCTTCATTATCTCTAGCATCAAAGCATAGCAAGCGAGGCAGCAGGCTGAGGAGCTAGACTGAGAGCAGGGCAGGACTAAGGCAGCCACCAGGGGCCATCACAGCCACCCTCTGGGTGCATCCTGTACCACCTTCCGTTCTGGTTTGAGAGACATCAGAATCTGCCAGTACATTTTGTGTGCCTCTCTGTTAGGATTTTTGCTTCTATTTCTGCCCGATATCCTCACAGCTTGCACTGCATTCACTATGCAATACATGTACATTTAATACCACTTGGAAAGCACAGAACTAGATAAAAAAAATCCAGAGCAGGGAAAAGTCAACTAGCATTACTGGACTATTTTCCACTCCTGATACAGGCAGTGATTCTGAATGGTATGACGAAAGGTAAAATTTAACACTGCACAAACTTCTTATTTCTGTATCCTTATTCTATTCATTCAAGCCTGATAAATCCTAAGAGGAATCTCCAAAATTAAAGAGTTGCCCAACTTGAAGTTTTTTATTCTAAATTCCCTAAATGTCAATGGTTTGGTTGAGCTCACACCTAATTTTGGTTTTTATTAAACCTAACTCCAATGATATGCTTTTGCAAAAACCCAAAGTAGCCTAATTTATGCTTAACTGTATGAAGATGAGTTAAAACAGAAACCTAGCACAGTCAATATTTTGATCCAGATCTCTTCTGGGCTTTTTGATTTTTGCAGGGCCAAACCAGAAAAAAGACTCCTCATGGCCCAATCAAAATAATTATTAGATGGTGGCATTATAGATTTAGACAGTTGCTGTGGAAATCGCCGCTGCATTCAACCTAAAAATATTTGCTGCCTGGGATTTGTAGAAAAAAGGGATGAATAAAAGACCAAAGCATTCCATAGGTATCTATTCAGTGTTTCATAACCATGTGATTGCCACTCAGGTAGAAGCTCACCGTTTGTGTCATTGGCTTTGTAAATACATTTCCTTCACAGAATCCTGCATCCGCTTAGCTTTTCCTTAGAAACAAAAGGTTAATTAAAATATGTAAGTAACAAAACTCAAGAACTGAAGACTCCACAGTCCCAAAGAGCTACAGCTGTACATAATGTACAATCTAGTTAGATGCCTTAATACAGCCTCTCCATTCAAAATAATAGGAATTATTCATTTCAAGCTTAAACCAGGAGTAACTGCTAAACTCAATGGACAAACATGCCTGAGAAGGAAGGGAATTGGCCGTATTGCATCTCACTTGATTTTTTTTTCAGCCTTGCCAAGCTTTTCAACTAACTTTTATAGATGGCAGCAGTAACCCTACTGATAAAGTTTTAGTGTGTGCTATATTTTTATGCCCAATAACTAAAACCCTTTAAAAAAAGGGTAAATTATAGGAGATCTTTTATCGCTTCATCCAGTTAATAAAAATCATATCTTTACTGGGTATAACTGTATTTATTGGCTAATTTCTTTCTTTTCTTTATAATGTGATTTAGTACAGGTACAGAACTTTGCTACAGCCTGCTAAGTTTAAAGGGAACAGATGTGCTGGACATCTCTTGGATGAACAAGCATGCCGAACCACCAGAACATGTGAAGTAGGAGGAAACTGTGGAAAAGACTTCCAGTGTGAGGAGACAGGTGAGTGGAAGTCTATCAAAAGGTGTGGAAAAATTAAGTCAGCTCCCATGGGAGAGAGGCTGAATTCTGAGAACCATGGACCAGTTCTTCAGGTGGTGCAACATGTTTTCTGATGGTTTCAATGAAGCTTTGGGGTGGTTTCCATTGCTAGGGGAATCTAGACCCACGGTTCTCAATCTGTGGTACGCATACCACTAATGTCACGCAGACAACCTGTCGGTGGTACATGTTAACAGATTTATTATAATTACTTTATATGACAAAAATTTGCTGGCAGTACATAAGGTTGAACTGGAAAATTTGCTGGTGGTACTAAAGGTTGTATTGTTTTAAATTGGTGGTGTGCAATCTGTCAGAGTTGCGGAGTCACTATTATTTGGCCAACAATGTTGGCTGTCCTGGTGTAAGAAAAAAGAAGCATCTGTTTTACATAGTCTTCTTTTTCTAGGGGCTCCATGTATGCCATAGTTTAATGGCCAAAAAAGAATGGCTTCATATGTAAAATGTACATTGTTCAAGAGCATACAGGAAACTGAAATGTTTCAATTCAAAAGAGCACTTCATGGGAATTGTCATTTGGATACCTTGGTTTCTAGTCCCATCTATAGGACACTATCTCTGAGTATACTACATTTCCCATGGTGCACCACTTTCTTCCCCTTGAATAACAGGAAGGAAATGCATAATAGGAAGTATATAACCTTACCTGAATGTTGGTTTTTTGGTTGCCTCACAACTTCTGGTATTTCAGTCATTTAGGATATTTGTTGTTGAGCTTCTGATGAAAACCTGAAAGTAACTGTGGAAAACAGGCAATGCTTGAGAAAAAAAGTCTAGTCGGAAAAACATTTTTCTGTTGGAAAAAAGTTTTGACAGAAATGTTTGTGATTAACCCTGCCTATGTTGAATGCCCACAATAAAGTTCCCAGAAAAATTAGCTTGTATGCACATATTTTTATCAACATACCTTACCCTTTTGTTCTTAAAAATTAGATGTTCTTTTTATAAAAATTAGGAAATGTACCATAGTTAGTCCTCGAGGTGGTGAAAATCAGCATCACTCCTCTGGTCACTGGAACAATGCTGGTTTATGCTTGCTGAGGATTTGGCCCTTCATGTTTTAGGTTTTTCTGCTAGCTGTCAGTGGTGCGCACAGTCTCACATGGTGCTTCCTGCAGACATTCATTTCTGAAATATGTTTATTGTAGCCAATTCCCAAAACACCTTCTGCAACTTGAACGGATATAACTGCACATTAATCTGACAAAGTTAATTCCATTTAGCCAACTGGAGAAGCGATTAGTCCTTTTCAAGAACATGTTCTTGGATAATGGACTCATACTGGAGCCTTGGCAAAGCAAACTTGACAAGATTCCCACACACCAGATCCATTTTTTGGAACATAGCAGGTGCCCAATGCAGGCTTTTCAGCTGATCTCCGCTGCATGCAGCATTGGAAAGGTTTGCAATGGTTCTGACTCTGGTTGTCTCTGTACGTTAAGGACCAAACTCCTGTCCTGGCTCTGGGCCTAAATAACAGTAAGGAGATTCAAAGGTACAGGGAGAGAGGCATTCTCCCTTTCACCCAGCCTATGAAAGCACATCAAAAATCACTTCAGCTTCAATACTGAAATACCTCTTGTGGCTTTGCAACCTGGGTACACCCAAGGGTGTGCCCTATTCTCAATAGGATGGGATGGGTAGGCAGGAGGGGGTGCTGTGAGAGGGATGCCAGCATTTTGAGCAGGTCCCTCTTTCTTCTATAGAGTTAGCCCAAGCCCCAAACTTTTTAACTATATGCAATTTATTGAGTTATAATATACATAAACATAAACCTAAATATCATAGACATATATTTACAGTGAACATTAACCAATAACCAAGGTCAAACCCTAAATAACACTATTTACAACATCACAATACAACCTTTCAATTGCAAAATATAAGGCGTGAACAATCATGTCATGAAGACATGAACAATCATAATAACATCATTTTCCTTAATATAGTCCCTGACCCATGGCAAGAGATAGTCCTCCTTCCAATGGGGTCCCTTGGGGGGTGGTGTCCAGGAAGCATCAGGGGCCCCTCCCCTTAGGACCTTTACTAGGTGGGGGGCTGCTCACCCAGCCCCTTCTCTGGGTTTGCCCGCCCCAAATGTCTTTCCCCTGTGGGACCCAAGGGCCCAATGACCCACAGTCCCTCAGGTGGCAGTGGTCAGGGCACAGCTCAATGGGGTCTCCTCTGCTGGAGCACCTCTCCAGGCCTCTCCTGCACCACTGGGCTCCTCTCCACACTGTGCCCTGCTCTGGGCACCGAGGGCTTAGCTCCTCTCAGCTGCTGTACCACTGCTGCTGGCTCCTCAGTGCTGGGCCTCACGCTGCAGCACTACCATTTCCCCGTGCCCTGTCTTGGTACTGAGGGCTCTCTTAGCACAGGCTGGGCCCTTCAGGCTCCAGCCAGCCATCCTCATGCCAGGTGGCTAACCCAAGCAGCTCCCAAGGCTCAGACCCATGCGCCACCCTGAGCACCGTGGGACCTGGATGCTTGCTGGGAGATGAGGCCTGAGCTTCACTGTGGGCCCCAAGGCCCTGCTGGGGTTGCAGGCTCAAGTCATTGCTTGCAGCTCCCAAAGCCTGGGCTCCGTGCACCGAACTGTGCACTGTGATGCGCCTGAGCAGTCTCCCAGTGTTCCCAGCGCTGGGTCTCCACACACCATCCCTGTGCACCATCTACACCCCGAGGGGTCTCGCGCCGCTCCCAAGGCTGCTCCTCAGGGGCAGCTTCAGGAGCCTTGGGCCTATTGCTCGCTGGGGGAGAGCTCCCCAGCTTTTCTTGGCTCCGCTCTTCTTGAGTTCCTCGCCGCATCTGCCCTTTGTGCTGGGCACGCCACTCCTTTTATACGCTCCAGGGCTCCGCCCCTGAAGTCTTCCAGACCTGACAGTTTGCAGTCTTCAATCAGGTCCAGGCGAGCTCTTCTCCCCCTCCCTTCAGGAAAGGGGCATGATTTTATTTCTCCTGCTGCCTCCTGATTGGTGGATGGGCTCCACCAATCAAAACAGCAGGATCTCAAGCCTGGGACTCAACCCGAGCTCTGAAAGGTGAGCCTGCTACAGGCTTTTTTCACACACCTCTGCAGTGGAGAAATCACAGAGTCATGAGCTCTGCTCCCATTCCTCTGCTGGACTTCAAACCTCCTGCTTGATGGGGTTACAGGGGCGTCTGAAGAACGAGGCATACGTGCTCCCTGCCCGGCCTCCCATCTATTCCCCACTGCAGGATCACATCAACTCTGCTAAAACCAGACACGTCTGGGGCTGAGGAGGAAGACATTTTTCCTTGACAATGGTTTTAAAGGCAAATTACTGAAGCACCTCACAAGGGAACTATGTGATTCCCACAGACATTGTTGTACAAGTGGGAAATCACATAGCGGGCACCATTTCTGCTGATGCTACTCAGATACCACACTTTCCTCCATACAGGAAACAATGGTGGGATTATAAACTCTATTCTGTGGCAACCATTGGCTACAGTGATTTTAAACAGTGGTCCCTGTCCAGCTTTCTGTGATTAAAGTATCAAGGGCACCTTGTTAGCTTGCTAAGACAAGGAAGGGGGCCAGGTCCACTGATCTTGGAGCCAGAAAAGGTAAATGAGCATACCTTCCACCCACTTGGGCTTTTGTGCCCGGTGGAGATTTATCCTGATTGTGGCTTATGTGATTTTTTTTTCACGCATGGAAGACAACTTACCATGTGGGGGGCTGGACCCAATGATCTGTAAGGTCCCTTCCAGCCCCTAGCAACTATGAAACTATGTTATGGAGGAAATGACCTGAGCCAGCAGTTTGCAGGATGCTGCTTCTGTCGCCAGTGTTGCCTGTGTTAGGCGAAGGCAAATTGCATCTCTTTTGTACAACCTTCATCTTCTCCCAAGGGGAAACTTTAGGCTCTGAAAGGGCTTCTTGGTCCCTGAACACTGATTCTGGGATTACCCATAGGGTCCTCAGTCAGCCAGAACTCCCATCACTGGGACATGTCTTTGAGTAAGGAAGAAGGAAATCAGATTGATTCAGCTTTAATAATTTGTTTAAGGAAACAGGGACTTTAAAAACCATCCAGTTAGACTACACACAGATTCAAAAGATAAGAAATATTAATATGCACCTCTGCATTTCAGGCCGCTGTATTAAACGCCACCTTGTGTGCAATGGAGACAGAGACTGTAGGGATGGGTCTGATGAGAACAACTGTGAGGATGCCGATATTGAAATCCTCTGTGAAAATATGCACCCAATTCCTGGAGCTGAAAGAGCAGCGCAAGGGTGAGTAATTCATTTATATTTCTATTCTTTCAATCAAACCAGGATTTTTTTTGTGTGCTGCTCAAATACCATAATACCATAATTTTTTTTTTCTAATTTGCTGAGCTCTGACAATATAAATAATGTTGTACAAACAGAGGAGGACAGATTGCCCCACAGACTTTACCGTCTAAATTGAGACGCCAATGAAATGTAGAACCATTATATAGTCTCTACATTAGCCTGATCCAATGTCTTTTGAAGTCAAAAGGAAAAATTCCCAAGTAATTAAATAGGACCCAGGAATAGGATGTGAGCAAGTCTATCAATAACTTACCTGTCTTAAATTTAATTAAACGTCAACTTTTACATTTTCTTCTGATTTGTTTGTCTTAGAGCACAAAAGTAATGGCATTTAGCCTCTTACCCTTAGAGAGGATTTCCATTCAGAGGAGTTGCACTGATATCTACTTGGAACCAGAGCTGGTTTCAGGAGTGAGTAACAAGGGCAATCACGGGTCGTCCAATATGCCTTAGCCTTAGGTCCCCATGAGTCCGTTGGCTGCTGTGCTTGGAACAGTGCTTTCATTTTGGGGCCGTCAGGTTACCAAAGGACGTCGAGAAACTAAAGGGAATTCAGAGAAGAGCAGTAGAAATGACCAGCGAGCCAGAGGGAATGACTTGTGAGGAAAGATTAAATAAGACAACTGTGTTTAGCTTGGCAAAGTGAAAACAGCCTGCAAAGATACAGAGGGCTGCAACTCCCCATGGAGGAAGAGGTAAATGGGAAAATAACTAAGAGGAAAGAAATGAGATCAAGAAAGATATCAAGGAAATGCTCTAGTGACAGTGAGACGTGCTATGCTGTAAAAGTCTCCTGAGGGACAAGATGGGCTCCCCGCTGATTAGGACTTTTAGATCTGTGCTGGATAAAACACTAGCAAACGTTAATGTAACTGGTTTCCTGCCATTGCAGTAGCAAGGCTCTGACTCCTCCTTTTGGCTCACCCACTCTTCACATATGGCACATTTTAGGATTTGATCATTGGGCACTTTGTGACCCTGGGGTGTGAGAGGGGGTGGAATAAAATGTTCTTGTGCAATTTCTGGATAATTGGTTGCTGGCAAATACGCAGAGCTAGATTTCTTGGCGCCCACATTCCTAAAATGAAAATCATCAGAAAATCATCTTATGCTGACAGAGAGAGATGGACAGGATGATTTAGTTAGTCTTTTCCATATCTAACTTAAGATGCTATGACATTACCTGTGAAATAACTTGGGCTATTATTAGTCTGTCTTATTTTTACTTGGAGATAACATTATTCTAAGCCAGTTCCTGCAGGACACAGCAACGATATAGAGCGGGGTAGCATCTGTCTCTCCTCTCCCATTTTTGAAAATGAAGATCTTGAGTCGTTGCTACTGGTGGTCCAAGAGTTGATGTGGAAAGCCAACGCAGGGGTGAAAAAAAACATAATGATAACTGTTTCACAAAAAAAGAGAAGCAACAACTAATTTCTGCATGATGTCTTTGCATTAAAGATACAATATTCTTACACAAGATGAAAGACAATATATATATGATCCTAATTTTTATGGAGGCCAGTGCGAGTATGTTTACAATGGAGACTGGCGAGAACTGAAATACGACTCCGCCTGTGAACACCTGTATTATGGGGATGATGAGAAATATTTTCGAAAACCCTACAATTTCCACTTTTATCAATTTCTAGTGAGTATTTAATATGTTAATATTTGGCAATATTTTCTGTGCTAAAACCAAAGCTTGCTTTCATGCTTTGATGCTAAACAGATTTCCTCAGGAAAATGTATTCAAGTTTTTTCCAGAGATAGAAAGATATTGCTGAAATGCAACTTTTATGGATGAGCAACTTCCTATGCTCTTCGACTGTCATTGAAAATATGCATTTTTGATACAAGAGATTACTGGCATGGTATCCTGTACTACTTGTGGACTTGTAAGACACTCAGTTCTGGTCTCTTTTATAAATCCTTCTTTAAAACCCAGCATTTCCAATGGTTTTTTTAATTATCTGTAAGCAATTTGATAGCATATCGTTGTTTTGCAAACACATATATGCATCAAGGTGCTCACAAGCTCTAGGATTGCACCCAAGCAATCCCATTACTTATTCTGGTCTAGTGGACAAGGCATTAAACTGGGAGCTAAAAGATATGAATTCTTTTCCTAGATCTGCAGTGGTGGGATACTGAAAATAGTTTCAGTGCCTCTGAGAGTGGAATGGGGATGGTCCTACTTGCACACTATTGTACAGCACTTTGAGAGCTACGGTATGGATGAAAAGTGCCACAGAGAACCAAAGTGCCCCTCCATTCTTCCCCCTTCATCTTGTTAATTGCTTCCTTCCTCCACCCCCGTACATCTTGTTAGTTGTCTGGTTAATGCTGGAGCTATAAAATTCCACCTTGTTCAATCTGTGACCCAGTCCTTATCTCCTGCACACTATTCAAATACAGCTCTGAAGACAGAGTTATTAATTTCCTCCCAGGCTTTTCTATGGCGCTTTACAAAACATCAATTAATTTATCTTCACAACTTCCCTGTGAGGCGAAGCAATGGTATTAGCCTCTTTTCACAAAGGCAGATCTGAACTGGAGAAAGATTCATGTTAAATATTTCGGCTGATTTTGGGTATCCAATCTGAGTTGCCTCCGCCCTGTTTTTTCAGCCCTTTCATTTCACTGTTATGATGTATTCCTTGGTGTTATCAATGCACAGCTCCCACTCATGGGCTTTTCGGCTGCGAGTGCTCAGCATTTCTGCAAATCAGCCCCCGGTGTACCTAGTTGGGCGCCCAGAAAATAAGGAAGGCACGCGTACTGATCGCCCGCCCAGGGAAAGTCTGAATTGTGTTAATTGTCTCGCATCACACAAGAGCTCTGTGGCAGTCACAAATAGAAGCCAATCCTCCAGGGCAGCATTCAGCTGCCTTAATCAAGGCTAGAAATAGATGGCATCAAATGCAATGGGTCACATCCTGGAGCAGCTGATCCGCTTCATTGGGCAGAACACACATTGCCTATTGTCCCTCCTGTTGATTTGTGGGAGAACGGGCAACACGTTTTCCCGCTTCCAGAGATTGCTGGGGCCACGTCTCTGGAGGCAAAGAAAACTGGGCAGGTGCTCCTGGGGCTTGAGGGGCCGGATCCTGTGCAGGAATCCCAGGATGCACACAACCAGGCTCCTCAAGCCTTAGGAGCACCTGCTTAGGCTAGTGGGAGATTGCGGGCACTCTGCCTGCCCATGCTTTCTCACCATAAAGCAAATAGATGCCCACTGTAATAAAGCAGCATGATTTATTGCTACTTCTTGTTGCAGTCATTGTAGTGCAACAAGAGGTATGTACATCTATTTGCTGTTGCTTTGTGCTGCCAGATAAATCTTTATAGAGGCAAGGGAAATTTTTGTTTTTACCCCAAGAGTTCCTCCCTTCTCTTCCTGCAATCTCCAGCTTTGTGCATTACACACCTTCCGATTTCAGCAACCAATAAGGCAGGGACCCCACAGACAAGTTTTCTGTGCCCTTTACCAAACAACCTTGATCCATCTGCAGAGCAGATTTGTCCTGTATACTGAATGTGGATGGGGGCTGGGGGTATCTTTTGGAAAAATAATAGTACAGGATCATACAATTAAAGACTATACCATAACGCATGTGCACTTTTATTACAGCATTTGCTAGTCTTTCATAGATTTCATAGACATTAGGGCTGGAAGGGACCTCGGAAGATCATCGAGTTCAGCCCCCTGCCCCAGGGGCAGGAAGTCAGCTGGGGTCATAGGATCCCAGCAAGATAAGCATCCAAATTTCTCTTGAAGGCGTTCAATGTGGGTGCTTGTCCTACCTCTGATGGCAGGCTATTCCAGACCTTGGGGGCTCAGACAGTAAAGAAGTTCTTCCTTATGTCCAGCCTGAAACGGTCTTGCAGTAGTTTATAACCGTTCGACCTTGTTATCCCTTGGGGAGCTCTGGTGAACAAACGTTCCCCCAGATCCTGGTGAACACCCCTTATAAACTTATAGGTGGCCATCAGATCACCCCTGAGCCTGCGCTTTTCCAGGCTAAAGAGCCCCATAACTCTCAGCCTGTCATCATAAGTTCGGTTTTCCTGACCTCTGATCATGCGTGTGGCTCTTCTCTGGACTCTCAAGCTTCTCCACATCCTTTTTGAATTGTGGGGCCCAAAACTGGACGCAGTACTCCAGGTGTGGCCTCACCAAGGTCAAGTACAAGGGGAGAATGACGTCCCGGGATTTGCTTGAGAAGCATCTATGGATGCAAGCCAGCATTTTGGTCGCTTTACTAGCCGCAACATCGCATTGAAGGCTCATGTTTATCTTGTGGTCAATCATGACCCCCAAGTCCTTTTCATCCATAGTGCTAGTCATGGGGAAGTGAGGCTCTGGCAGAGCTTGGACCTAATTTGGGTCTCCAAGAACTGTGCTAGGTTTTGGGCCCAATGGACCACTGGCTCAGAATTTCTTGCAAACCACCACTTTGCACTTCATCAGGCTCTAACACTACAAAGCCATTGGCTGTGCTACCTACAGGGACCTTCTATGCATAGGGCCCAGTGCACGTCATCAGCCAAATGTGGCCTACTTATCATGTCCTTATTCTAATACTACCTTAACATGGTCTTGTGGATCCCTGCAGACTATACTTTGGGTTTCTCTTTTTGTCTCTTCCCCATGGGCCCCTCCCCATTAAGAAATTAAAAATGCTTTGCTTTCATCCTGATGTGGAACACTTTTGAAATCTCAGTACTACATTTATTCCCCCATCCAGCTGTAGATGAAGCACACATTTTGCCAATAAGTGTCACAGGTTTTTGGTGAGGAATGGCGGGAAACAGGGTTCGAGACTGGTGGAGAACATGCTCAGGAAGTAGAGGATCTTCTGCCCGTTTCTCCAAAGCTATGTCCTTTCTCTCTTTATTCTGTCCTAGGCTGGTGTCTTCTTCAGTCCTACTCTTTTCTGCACTCTCAGTGCCTCATCCAGTTTGTCTCATTCACCTCCTCGCTCTACCATGTTCTTTCCCACATATCTTGTCCCAGTCTCTGCCCAACCAGTCCTAGTTTACTCCAACACCCATCTCTGTCCATTTGTCTTTCCTATTCCACACCCTATTCCTTCACTGACTTATATTATAGTGTTTCGTCCCAATGACATAGGGTTGGAAGGGCCCTCAAGGGTCATTTAGCCCAGCCCCCAATCTTTATCCCACCTCTTAGACCTCATCTGAATTCAGTACATGTTGTAAGCCAGAACTGTCTGCTCTGCTCAGACGGTCAGTTGGGATGGCACACGCAGTCTGATGAGTAAGTAAGTCCTCTACCTATGGAAGCTTATGCTACACGTCTCTGATTTAGTTAGTCTATAAGGTACAAATTTACCCTGCCTTCTACATGTAGTCTAATCACAGAGAGGGACTGTGAGAGTCTCAGGGATGCTCAGTGAATATAAAATTAATAAAAAATAAAAACAATTTTTTCCCCTGACTGGAGACAGATGAGGCAAAATGCTTAACTTTAAATATTTTTCTCCCAAAGCTTAGCTGTGATTAAGTTTCCAAAGGAAAAGGCATTTTTCTCAGTTCTTTATCCTGCATTACGTTTAGTCAGGGACAGTGTTGTTGATGTTGCCACTGGTTTCAACAGGAGTGGGATTGGGTCTTTAAATGAGAGCGTGGATTTAAAGAGGAAGCTAATATGTAAAAAAATAATGCCTCTTCCTCTTATTTCAGGCTCATGCTGATTCTGGATTCTCTTTTGAGTTTTATGATGATTCAAAAGACTTGCTTGAGGCATTAAAAAAGGAAAAATCCAGGAATTTTGGCATTACTTTTGGAGTAACTCCTGAGGACTCACCTGTCAAATTTGAGCTTGGTTACAGTTTATCAAAGGGAAAGGGATCTCTGAAGAATTTCACACAGTATAATGAGAAGGTAACAAAAACAAGATGCACACATTCTCAATAATGTCTTATATGATTTTGGTGTAACTTATGTTAGTTTATTCCCGTAACTGCATTTAAAAAAAAAAACACACTAGTAATTGTACCTTAATTTGTTCATGTAATTGCACATGTGAGATCGTTAGTAATCCTGTTTGTTGTTCTTATTACATTTAAGCAAACAGGGAATGGGAATAAAATTGAATTATGGAGTATGAGAACACATGTCATCTCACCCCGTCCTGTTTCATGACTACATTAAGCATATAAATAAAGAAATACTGAAAGTGGTGAAGAGGGAGGGGAAAAATCAAAATGTTCATCAAGCAGTTGTCCTGAGGGAATGAGCTCCAATGGCAAATATATCTTTTTCAAATTAATACGAGCTGCAATATGTTGGTAAGATGAGCCACAATTGTGTCATCGGTTGAAAATATCATAGTACGATATCATAGTACAAGTAGTACTAAGAAAAAGGGTTTATATTTAGTAGAAGGCTTATGTCATTGACAGTTATGTGGTGACCCTTTTCAGATGTAATAATATTAATGGTAATAGTACTATTTCACATTTATACCATGCCTTGCATCTATTTCTCTCATGGAAACTACAGGAGAATTATTTTGACAGTGCCCTTAAGTGCCTTCAAAACTGCTAAAGAATTTAGTATCTCTTTGTTTCCAGCAACGAAATGCTCAGTTATTAAAAGAATCATTAAAAGGGCCCTTTTTATTGCACCTGATTCTGAGACTTAGTACAATGAAAGAACTTGCAAGAGAAAGCTCACCAGTTATGTGGACTTAGGGGACCGGTATCGTCCGCTGGTACTAATGTTATATCCTGGGAGGGTCCCACGGTGATGCCATATCCAGTTAATGCTGAGCTGAGGAAAGAAAGGGAGATGGGACATTTTGCCAACGAGAAGTTTGGTAGTTATAGATACACACACTTCGTAGACCTTTATAGAACGAGCCACTGACATACTTGCTCTTCCCCATTTCAATGCTTTGCAGAAAACTACAATGTAACATGCTAATTCTCTTTCATTGTCTCATCTAGCCCGAAAGAAATGCAAAAGTGAACAAAAAACATAAATTCCTGGAAAAGACTAGAAGATGCTGGCACCTTATTTGGGGGTGTGCATGGGCGGTAATTCTGATTTTCCTTAAAGCCCCAAGTGATCACATATCCTGAATTTCCCCCTTCTCCACCCTTCCTCTTCCCTCCAGCTGGGAAATTGGATATGTAAATCAATTAATAAATGTCAGGCTTACTTTAGGCTTTTGAACCTTTAAGGTACAGCTTGGACCCACTTTCAAGATTTCTATGCAACTAGAAGGGGTAGATTCTTATATGTTTTCACGTATTATTAGATCTGAGATAAAACTGTACATATTGGCAGCATGACTTGGCACAGTTTTAAACTAAAATATCTCCATTGATTTCAGTGAAGATGCTCCTGATACACAGGAGTTAAAACTCAGGCTTAGGTAATGTACCTTTATAGGTCTCTCAGACAAAAGAAAGCCAGCTAATGCTTTTTTTCCTGATCTTCTGCAAAGTGGACTTGTGCATTCTTTGTCCTTTAATATTTAGTTTACGGGTAACTTCTGCTACATATATTTTTTTACCTGCAGAATCTGGAATTCATTAGAGGTGTAACCAAGGTACAGACTGCACGTTTCAAAATGAGAAGGGATAACATAGTTCTGGATGAAGACATGTTTCAGGCCCTAATGGAGCTTCCAGACAGATACAATTATGGAATGTATGCCAAATTTATTAATGACTACGGTACCCATTTCATGACGTCTGGGACTATGGGAGGCGTCTTTGAATATATCTTGGTTGTTAACAAAGAAGAAATGAGGAGAACAGGTTAGAAAAACACTACAAATTCTGTATGAATTGCTTTCTACTCTACTATCCCATTATGGTAAAGATTATAGGTAATTAAAAATCCCTATAGGGTTCTTTCTTCATCTGCACCCCAGGCATGGAGCACTAATACTATCATTGCTACAGTAGTGTGTACCTCACAGGTGTTTTGGCCAAAGATGTATATAGTCTTCTACCTCATGGCATCGCCCAGTATTGACCCAGGCTCCATATGCTAGATAGAGCTATGGATCAACACCTGGCATTCTGGTCTGGTTACTCAAGCAAAGAGTCCACAAAAGTATGGATGGAAATTAAACAAGACCTTCCTGGTTCTTTCCAAAATAAAACTTTGTTCTTTTTTTAGTGTAGGCATCACCTTTGGCTCAGGGGGCAGGAAAGCCTGTGAGGTATCTCTGGTCAACAACTTGGGAGGATTTTAACCCATACATCTTCTCTTTGTCCAGGAGAGTGTGCTAAGTCCTGAACTATAGTTCATCCAAGGGTGGATGTCTCTCCACCTCTTCTGTTGAGGACGATCCATTTTGCACAAATATATAAATAGACATCGTTCCAAAGCATTCACGTTACCTACGCTGACCCTCTATAGTTTGCCCTCCCTGCTGAAGAACAGCTGAGGTGAAGATAGACCTCATGGCCTTGATGAGCCTGGTCAGGACTTAGTTCATAAACCTAGGCACTCTGCATAATTACTGCTGCTTTATCATTCATGGCTTCAGTACATTTCATGGCGTGCTACATTTAATGGCAGGTTCAATGTCATGGGTTGTATCATCAGCTCATGTATTTTTGGTACAGAAACGGAGCTGCCCTGATAGACATCAGTTGAGGCTGCCCTGATAGACATCAGCTGTACCAACTCCCCTATGGGTCACTCTGTGGTATATGACCAAAGCTATGAGAAAAGTTAAGGTGGAGAAGTTCCAGGTTAGTTTATTTAGCCTCTATCCTGCTGTGAGATGTCAAATGAACCAGACAGGGCCCACTTCCCCCCCAGATCACTCACTGAAGTGAAGGAATGTCAAATTCCTACTATTAGCATCGCTGCCACAGGATTAATTAAGCAGAAATGAATCCATCCCTGGTATGTTTAATGCCCCTCTCTCTCAGCAGGACCATTCAGAAGACTCTGTGCTCTAACCCTCAATTGGAAAGTTTGTGACCCACGTAGAATTGGTGATGTTCTCAGTTAAAGTTTCCCTCTCCCATAGGCAAAATGAGTTCAGGGGTGGCGAAGGTGCCCTCCTCAAGCACCACTCCAGTGTCCCTCTACTGCCCTAGCAATATTTGTGCCCCACTCCCCAACCCCTTTTTATGTCACTGCTTTGGGGATCAGTAGTTTCTAAGTCCAGATACAACCTGTATCCAAATTTTGCAGCTTTAACACAATGCCAGGAGGAGGACAGGCAGGTCCCTCTGGAAAACATCTAGTTAAACAAGCAGCTAAGATCTTCTGTGAAAGTAGGATGGTCACTGAAAGGGCTTCCTGGTCTGTTTTTTCACATCAGACCGCCGTGGCAATAAGTATTGTAGGGAAGAATCTGCATTTCCTTCACTTCCTTCCTTTGCTGTGTCAATCTTCTGGGGTTTCACCCCTTCCACCAAGTAATTGTGCAACAAGTAAGCATCTTATGCTATCTTTGGCACTGGTGATTTCCCAGATCTGAAACTCTTCTTTTCCCCTTTCCCTAACTTAACACAATGGGAAGAGAGATGACCACCAGGCAGGGGAAAAAAATCATTTTTCAGGGGAGAGACTGGTTGTGAATGTCAAAACTGGTTCAGAATGTCAAACGAGATTTAAGTCCATATTTTGAAGCCTGAAAACTTAATAACTGACTGCTCAGGAACAAAACAAATGCAGACAAATAGCCAGAGGAAAGAACGATACCTCACTCACACTTCATCTATTTGCTAGTGAAGGTCGCTATATGATGGAGCCCTTAATGGGATGCAGTCTAATAAACAAGCTCTTCTCTAAAAGGGTTGGGCTGAGCAACACAAATGCAGGTGCATCAGGGGGTGAGACTCCAAGAAATTCCCTTCACACTGCTGGCAACAATTGTCGCTCCAATTATACCTGCTAGCAGAGACGGCGAGTAAGAAAGCATCATGCAGACAGATCCAGACAATTTCAAAGGCATTTGTTTGTTCTGAATATGTAAATAATGCATTGTACTTGGCATTATACCTGCCATTTTACACTGGCTGGCTTTTAATCTGAGGCAATGACAGAGTTGCACTTGTTCTAGCTTTCAAAAAATGAAGGTGTGCAGGACTGCAGAAGGCTGCCTGTAAATCTTGTTTGTGTAACATATCATCCACAGCTGTTTGGACTGCATGCACGTCGGTCTCTGGAAAGTCGACGCATAAAGTCGCTGCTAATCAAATGTATGAAGCGTAGAAGAGCAACAACATAGTACATCAGCGCACTAGCCAGATTCGTAGCTCCTGCAAAGCCATCCGCAGTGTGATAGATACCACGGCCCTGACACAGCCAGTGATACAAGCAGGCATTACACATGCAAAGGGTCAGCACTGGTTACTCCAATCTGGGGGAAAAGGGTAGGGGTTAACTAGGAGACTGCGATGGTAGCAACTAGGCTAGGTGACGATAGCAATACTAATACCTAAGAGGAATCAGGTGCTGAACTGGGGTCTGTCTCTGGTATAAATGAACATAGCAGAACTATCATAATTTACACCAGTTTGAGATCTGGGCTGGAATAGGTTGGTTCCATATAACTCCATGAATTCAATATGTAGCCCCAACCATAGAGAGTATTACAAAAGAGATCATTCCCAGTTGAAGTCACTGGCGCAGCGTTCTGAAAGCAGATGCCCTTATTCTTGAACGGTGCATGGCCGTTCTTAGTTGGTGAAGTGATTTGTCTGGTTAATTCTGATAACGAATGAGACTCTAACTAGCATGCTAACTCGTTATGTGACCCCCAAGCGCTTAATAATTGTTTTCCAACTATAGAAGTTGGTCTAATAAAAGATATCAGATTCATTCAAAGAACCTTGTCTGCCCATGTCCTTAGACCAACACGGCTACAACCTACACCCTTATTCTTGAATGCACTCTGTGTTCTCAACCCGTTTTATTTGACTTGAGGGGTGAGTGATAAAGAGGTGAGCAAGATCTTGGCGAGCACAACTTGAAGCAGCAGACTGCCAAGCTAAGAGGAAGAATGAATCAATGACAGGAGGACAGGGGCTATTATTTTACTTTATCTTGTGCTTACCGTGTATCTGAGAAGAGAAAATTTATAGCGACATGGCACCTTATTTTAGGAATGAGGGATGTTGAAATTCTGCAAAAGGCAAAAACGTGCCCCTGAAGGGATGTAATTTTCACTCTAATGTAGGATACTTGTACAATTTCCATCTATACTGGAGACTATTAAAAAGTCAACATTTACCAGGTCACACAGCACTATATGGTATGCTAAGCGTATAGGTGAGGACACTGTTGTATCACCACCTGGAAAGAGTTGGTATAAACTGATCACTCGGTGTCCTAGAAAACTGGGTTGGCTCTTAGATCCAAATCCACCAAAGGATGCAGCCACTTAATGTGGGATTTAGGTAAGATTTTGCTTTTCAACTCCAAAACTTAGATCCTCAGAGCCCCCGTTCAGTTGCTTCCTGAACCTGGAAGTGCCCGTGCAGCATAGGCATGTTGGTCTTCAGCATCCAGTTTCCCCAGGTGCTTTGAATATGCTCCTAGATCTGCTCAAAAGAGCATAAGTCTTGACAGGATTGATTCATTTGGTGCCTGCCTTACACCCATGCCCTGCTGGAGCCCATCTCTCTCACCCAAGGGCGCAGGAGGGGTTTTGATTCAATATGTCCTCTCGGAGGCCAGCAGCTGTATTCTAGCAAAACACAACTGGAGGAGGGGTCCCCTTTTTATCCAATACCTCAGTAATTATAGCATTCACCCAGTACAAGGCCCACATTTAATTTCTCCTTATGCTTCTGGGGAGTCATATCTTCAACCTATCTGTTCCAAATACCACATCAGTATTTTATCCATTAACATTGTTAGGTAAAATACTGGAACACCTTGGAAGGAGGGCTGGCCTCCCCACCAAGTGAGCTCTCTCAGCATTAAGCTTTGGAGTCATGTTCTTTCTTGTGCACTCTCTTGCTCTCGCTCTCTCTCTGGCCCAATAAATCCTTAAGCCATTTCTGCAAACTGGAACAAAGTCAATGGTACAGGTGTCAAATGGCCCCCAAGAAGGAGTGGCTCACTTGGTGATGGGGATATTCTGGGAGGTGAGAGTTCAAGGGACCTGAAAATAGGTCTCTCACATCCTGGCTGGGTATCTTATTACTGTCTTATTGTAAAATAGTACATAACACCCTGTAACATTGTCTAAAGAAAAGTGGTAGCTGGCTGCCACTGCATTTTGATGCAGGCAGCATGTAGTAGGTATTTTCTGACTGGATGGGGCTCCATGAGCTTGGTGAAAAGAAGCTGAAGTCTCTGGATCTCAGTGGGGTTTAAGCATGAACTAAGATGGAGCTGTTTGACAGTCAAGATTGAGGCACGCCTGGATGTACAGAAGTAGACGTTTAGATATCTGAGAAATTTTACATTCGAAAATGAAGGCAGATTCCTCCAGAATTAGGGTCCCATAAAGGGTGAGGTGCCACCCTTGGACTGTGTAGCACATGTACAGTGAGCTTTGTATCACCAACAGCTCCCTCTTTACACATCCTAGATCCACTCCTGGTGCGAGCTAAGCAAGGAGCTACAGGGTTGCATTTTGAGACGTATGCACCTAAACTGTGCATGGCTCCCAGTTTTAAGAACCGAAGGTCCTTTTCTTGGATCTGGCCCAAAGTGCAAGTGAATGGGGAATCTCAGGCTATGTCCCTTATAAATTATGCCATTCATGTTGTTCATTCCTCCTTCTTAAAATAAATGACTATTGTTTTATTACTTACCAGAAAAAAAACTGTGTAATTTGTTAACGGTTATAACAGCATTTAGGGGAGAAACAGTCCACAGAGAATAATGTGGAAAAAGCCTTTATACATTATGATTAATTCAAAATACAGCAATAAATCTAATGACTAGAACACATTTAACTATCTGAAATTATATCAGATGATAACCAATAATGGTTTCCCCTCCCCCAAAGTGCCAATATTTTGTATGACCACCCTTTTGCAGTGATAACCACTTAACATTTATCAACACTGGATCTACAGTTTTGCTCCAACCAATAGCAAATTGTATTGACAGACCCTGGCTGAACATAATTACTCAATGGGAGCCATGGTGAATCAATTAATCAGGGTGTTACTCAACTTTAATTTTATGGCACTCCAACACTGAGCTAAGCAATCATTCGTGCTGCTTTGGGTGAATGAATTTTACCCACTTCAATTTACAGCTGTTGAATATTTTAGTTCAAGTCATTGAATGCTACGTGTTTAATCTTTCTCAGGGGTCCAGGTTTACAATGTGATGAGACCCTCTCTTGGCACAAAAGGCCATGGGCAATGAGGTGTTGAGTACCTTCTGAAATGAATGGGAATTCAAGATACAGATTGCTTTATTTGGGAAACTTAGTACCTCACGTGTTCAGCATCTGCTCCAGCACCAGTGAAGTCAGTGGAGCAGATCTTGGTCTCAGTTGCTCTCCACTGACTTTTTATGACAATTTTTATCACAATTGATATGTGATAGAAGAACAAAGTCTGGCTTAAAGGAGTGTTGCTGTAAACTTTAATGGGAGCAAAAGTGGGTCCCACAAGACTGTAGCAAATAGGAAGCAGTGTCATCTGGGGAGCAGTGCACTGTCTTGACAATCAAAAAGGCTTGGGTTTTATTACTGTCTTTGATATTGGATGATGTCTTGGGTGACTTTGGTCTTTTCAGCAATATTTGTAAAATACTTTGAGATCTATGACAAAAAATGGCTGTCTAAAAGTTGGGACTGTATTATGAGTCTCATCCTCATGCCTCCACTGATAACAAATTGCCATTAATTTCTATACAGTTTGATCCTCAGTGGGCATGTCTACATGAGGCGCTACTGCGCAGTAGTGTTGGCGCGCACTGACCATGATGCACCGCTACAGTGCAGTAGTAATGAGCTTGTCGTTACTGCACAGTAATATCTGAAAAACCTGTCTGGGGACAGGACTGTGCCGTAACGCTGGTTTACTGCGCAGTCGTTTAGTACTTGCTTATGCAAGCAGTAGGTAACTGTGCAGTAACAACTGCGCAGTCTGCTGCTCGTGTTGGCGCGGCCAGCTCATAATGTGCCAAAACTTCCTTACAACGAAAGTATGTTAGCCTACATTTAGAAGTAATTGTTAAGATAACACAACAACATTTGTGTGTACCTAGGAGAACTTTTACAATCTCTTCTCTCTCCTATGCCTGATAAAGGGCGAGTGCGCCTGAAAGCCTGCAAATAAATAAAATAATTTGTTTGCAAATCTCTAGTTGTTCTAATAAAAGATATCATCAGCTCTTCCACAAGTTTTGATTCCTTTTGCAACAAACAGGTGCTTGACAAGTTGTCCTGAAGATGATCTGCAAGCCATTCTTTTTGCCTCATTCAGTAACCTGTCCACATTAATCCATTAAAACCATTGCAGGCAAACTATTTTACTATGATGTTTTTTCAGCATCCTCATTTTTTAGCTCTTAACCATTGGCCCAAAAAAGGTAAAGGAAAGAAAAGAAAAAGACATAGGGTTTTATCCACAGCTAGCTAAAGGAAATATGGCAAATTATATCTGTGAGCATCTCACCTGTCTGTCCCAGGCAGGCCTACTTGGTTAGACCAAATAAAAAGATGAAAGTGGATTTCAGTTTGTCAGGATCTCTGCATCTCTTTCTTCGGATCACTTTCTGCTGCCGGTACAGGATTTTAGCTTAAAAATTACTACCAGGGATATCATGTCAGCTCCTTAGCTACTGAAAATTGGTCTCTAAATGCATCGATTTTAGTGGATCAATTCAGATGTATTCCATATAAGGATGGTACCTGTATGAAAATAGAGTTTTAAACAGGTGGAACAAAACCTGACATAAACACATTTTTTAAAGCTGAGATTTTTGATTTCTTCTAATACATATTGCGAGAACACTTTTTTGCCCTTTGCATCACTTAGGAGCTATGCTTGAGACACCCAACCAAACCATTGGCACCACACATGGATGGAGAAGGCTTGTGCAAAACAGCTTCCAGAAACTCTTAGACATCACTAATTATTTGGCTTCCACAGATGTATATACATATATATTTTTTTTCTGGATGACATGTCCCTACCAAATAATATTGAGAAAAACAGCATCTTTCTGAATAATAATGTAATTCATTATATTTTTGTTTTTTCAGGTATTGAAGCTGAACAAGTAAGTTCCTGTTTTGGTGTATCACTAGGCCTCTCCATCAGTAAGGTTGATATAACTGGAAAAGTAACACTTTCATACAGTGAATGTCAACAAAAAGGAGCTCTTCAAACTGGTATGAAGTTTTCAAATTAATCAGAATATATGTTTCCTGCTAATAAATCTCAAGCTGGTTTCACTCCTCGTGTTAGTGGTAAAACTGCAGTTTTAGAAATTCAGCCATTGATGCTGCTTATTTGGCTCAGTGTTGCTGTTGCTGTTAGCTGATTGTTGACTGCTTGGCTTTTGAGGTTACATGGTAGTTTAAAATAGGAATGGATGAAAATGAAGGAGCTTTATGAACCTCTCAACATAAATGATGGGTTGTGGTATTTGTCAAATTAGTTCATTTCTATAACATTTCCCCCAAGTAATTTAAATTCAGTTTTTGTCAAGGGAAATTCCTTTTAAACTCTACCTCAAAGTTAAGTCAAGGTACCCACACCTCAACAGCTAACCAGAGTTAACCACAGCCTCAAGAGCGATCAAATGGATTTGCTGCATTTGGTATCAAGATCCTTAATTGATGCAAATCAGCGTAAATCCACGGATTTTAGAGATGCTATTTTGGTTTACCCCAGCTAAGTATCTGGCTCAAGGTATTTATTTTGGTTAAAGCAAAGTGCTAATAGCAATTCTCATTCCAGAAGTAATTCCAATATTGCAATATTAGCTTTTATGCCAAATCAGAGAGAAAGTTAATGAGAGGCATGTGGGCTAATGAGAGGGCTAAATGCTTCTGCATCGCTTTAATGGTGTTGGTGCTTGCACTCCTCGGTGGCGCATTGCACATTAATTCCAGCCGCTGTAGAAAATTTGGCAGTGTAATTTGCCTTAAATGACTTGCGGCACAGCAAATGAAAACACCTTTAAGGAGTTTTAGTTTGCTACCTCTACAGCCGCGGAGTGAAGCACCGGGCTCTGTGCAGCTCCACGGCTCTGCAGGAAGCCCTGCAGGCAGCCTGGCAACAACCGGGGAAAGCAGGCTCTCCCCAAGAAAAGCAGGGAGCCTGATCTTTTTTTTTTCCCCTGGAGCCTGCCTGCTGGCCTGACCTATGCCAGGGCCTGGTGCTTCCCTCCGTGGTTGTGGTGCCCCCCAGGACTGCCCAAGCTGGGTGCTGCAGGTGGGTGCTGCCTGGGTGGGGGACACTGCTGCCGCGGAGGGAAGCACCAGCCCCCCGCAGCCAGGGACCGCTCCGCCCGCCAGCAGCTCACCCTCCCCTCCGGAGAGGCAGGTAAGTCAGCAGGGTATGTGCACAACACGGGGGTTTAATCAGCCCTAAACTGAAGCAGTGTTTTTTAAAACCCACCGCTTTGATTTAGGGCCCCCGTTTCGTCTACACACTCCCCTGCAGATTAATATTGAACTGACTCGTAACGGTATATTGGGTCAGTTCAACAAAATGAACTATTTTGATTCAGATCAAACGCATCCAAATGAAACATTTTGTGTGAAAATGTTGGAAACATTGAAATTTCCCTATAAGAACTTTCAACTTTGTGGGAGTGGCATTTGCTCTCCAAAACCGTTCCAGTGGAACTTTCTCAATGAGCTCTAATGTTTAGATTAGAAAGTTTATCTCTTCCTTTCTATTTTATTCCATAGTCCCTTTGAATACATTTTTTTTTTTATCTCCACGATCTTTCTTTAGACTCTAGAGGTCTGGATTTCCTTCTTATATGATAATTGCCAGTAACTAACTGCATGACCTTGCACTAATTGCTTTTTTATCTGAACCTCAGTTTCCACATCTGTAATACAAGGAGTGGATGCTGGGGAAAACTGACACCTAAATTTGTAAAACACTTTGACTTGTACAGATGACATGACAAAATTACATTGCTATTAACATAGCTCTTATTATTGCATATATGCTGGGGAGCATGAAAGTGATATACGACAGTGACTGTGTCTTATATAAATCTAAGCCAGATAGAAGAATTAGAAATGAGGAGTTCATGTAAGGTCCTTAACTTTTATATTACCATGCTTATGGCACCTGTACTGCTTAACTCATTAGAAACCAGCTTGTAGTAATGGGAAAAGCTGCTTAGCTTTGCTTACCTCATTTCACTGAAGTCAATGGAAAAGCTTGCACTGGTTAATTGTCGAGATCTGGGCTCTTCTGGGCAGAAGGGGACATAGAGTCCCGTTGATTAAGTATTTTTTACTACACTAGTGAATTTGTGGCAGCACTAACTAATGTGTAAGTATAATTCAACTTTCCAGGTCATGAAACTAAAAATGCTGTTGTGGAAGATATTATTCCTCGGATTAAAGGTGGAGATACTGGTTCAGCCGAAAGCCTTTTAAGCAGCCAGAACGCCAATATGTATCGGCGCTGGGGAAGGTCATTAAAATATAATCCTGCTGTTATTGATTTTGAGGTAAGACTTCTTGCAGTTGAAGAAACTCCACAGCTAAAAGGAATGAAAGTGTAGCAGACCAGATCATTTCATATTTTTATTGTGATCCCATCACAGAACAAGATTAAATGTAATGGGCCACTGATTTGGTAACCTCATACATTTCACAATGGGGAGTGCATTTCTTTGTGACAACATCAAGAGGTGAGGCAGACAAGAAGCTTCATGCTAGATTAGCATAGAGGTTAATTTTTGATGCGTCTCTGGGCAGAAGTAAGCAGTTTCTTGAAGAACCCTTTTCAGTGATCACATCACTCACTGTTACTCTCACTACAGCTGAATTGTGCATCTTCCCAAGTCAACAGGAAACCACCAAGTGGCTAGAAGGGAATGGGATCCTCTCCCAGCCCTGGAGGCTCAGTATGTAGCTCCCACACTGTCACTACAAAACTCATGGACTAGTAGTGATACCTTGCTATCTGCCTTTAACCCATTACGAGGTTTATTGCTTGTGGACCGAGACAGCTTACATGCTCATAATTGCAAGTACCTCATATAGATACTAGAGTGGATGCTGCTGCAGTGCATGCTTTTCTGCATCCTAGCTTTGTGTTACTTACCTGTCATGCCCTGACCCAAAGAAAAGAAGAAAGAAAACCTGAGCTTTGGCACGTTGCCCTTTGAGGCTGTAAATATTTGGTCGGGTCGGAAAGGACCTGAGCAGATCATAAAGTCCGACCCCCTGCCGTGGCAGGAAGGAGTACTGGGGTCAAATGACCCCAGCAAGGTGTTCATCCAGCCTCCTTTAAAGACCCCCAAGGTAGGAGCCAGCACCACTTCCCTTGGAAGTTGGTTCCAGCTCCTAGCCACCCTGACTGTGAAGTAGCGCCTCCTGATGTCTAGTCTGAATCTACCCTCTGCCAGCTTGTCACCATTATTTGACACGGGCTTGACTGTCCCAGAGTTTGATGCATACGAAAAAAGGCATGCCACAATCATTTACACAGGTAGTCCTTCCAAGCTGCCCTGCTGCTTCCCCATCAGAGAAGAGCACTCTGCCTGCCCAACTTGTCCTGGGAGAAAGCACAATCATCTTATAGATGCACACAGCCGGGTCCTGGGAAGAAGCAGAAGCACATTTTATCCCACTTACTTCAGAGTGACTTGAAGCAGGACAGCAGACTTGTACGTCTGCAGAATCCTGGGACAAAAGGCTTTATTCTGGGACAAATATGATGTCTATTTGCACCCATGCATAGCTATAATGAATTTTTGCCCTTCAGTGCCATGAAGCAGGGTCTACTCTTCTAAAGGAAGCGTAACAGAGAGGAGGTGGAGAATGGAGTTCTCTAGTTAGGGTACAGAGATGGTTTTACGGGCTATATTGCACTGCTAGGGTATAATGAGGTGCTTTGACATTTTTTGGCTTCACTCCCCCTTTTTTGGCTTTCCTGCTTTTACCACTGTGTAAAACGTAAAGCCACCTAGAAAGAAGAAATGTCAAATACCCCATGTTTTTTAAAAAAAGACTCAGATGGATTTGCTTTTATTTCAGTTTCTGGCCAATCAATTCTGCAGAGATTTTTTTGTACAGCTAGGGAGCTATCTTTCTCAAGGGAGATGTCTCCAGGCTATTGCTGCTTTGGGCAAAATCTGTAAAATTGCTCTTGGTTGTAATACAAAACACTTCATGAGGAAGAGTGCCAGTGTCAGGGGGATGTGCACAGAAAGGTTGCCTGCAGATTGTTCTAACTTGGGTGCAAAGTTTATATTTGTTCACTGACAAAGACGGTTTTTTAATAAAAAGCCAGGGACAACTTCATGTTAGGCTGGTAGAAAAGCTGTTCTAAAAGTTTATTTTATTTCAAATGGCTGAAAGAAATTAGCCATTGCTGAACCCATGCTTTCTATATGCCCTGCTTTTGTTAAAAAGAACAACAAGAGCGTTCAGGTAGTTCAAGGTTTCAAGCTCAGATTATAGGATTAATTCAATAAACATCCTGAACTAGCAGCCTTTTGTAGGTAGGCTTTCACTTCAGAGTGGTCCTGGGCTGTAGTAATCAAATATCGTCATTTGATGGCCTAAAAATATATGGCGGTCTCGGTGCTTATGGTAAAAAACTCAGCAAATCATAACTCAGTCTGCCTCTTTAATGTCAGCTACAATGCCAGATACATGAACCAGCAAGCAAGCAAGCAAAAAGCTTACCCCAATAGCTGATCTCTGCATTTCTGATGGTCAGCACTGAGGCAGATTGGTATAGCAACCTGAGACTGCTGCTGCCCGTCTCGTCTGTAGTTTCTATTGTTTTGTCTTGGCACTGAAATTCTGTTAAAAATCGGATGCGATGGGCCATGTTCCACAAAGCACAGCGTTCAGGTGGGGCTGAGTCTGCTCATGTTCTCAGACTGGGCCTCCAGTTTACACGCCCTGGAAAAGAAGTCAAAGACAAGTAAATTAATTTAGCTGGATTTCCTATTCTGGCTAGATATTCAGCAAGCGTCAGTTAGCACAGCCTTATTGACACCAATAAACCTTCTGTGCTTACTTTCTTGGTAGGATTTTGATCATAGGTAACTGTGAAAGTTTGGGGGAGAAAACCAGAACATGCTCCGAACCTTCTGTGCCCAACAACACGAAACGATCTGCTGAAACGTCCCGAGTGGTTTCAGAAATGGGGGTTGGAGAGGGAGGAGGAAGAAAGGGAAAGCAGGGGGGAAAAATAATTCAGTGCTATCAGACACTGCAGCTTTTACTTTGTGCCCTTGCCATCCATCAGTGAACCACTGCCTTTTACAAGGCATTTTCTTGTAAGAGTGTGGCAGTGGGGAGCAGATTGGGCGTTTCTCTCTGTGCAGTGAAAGGAACAAAAATCTTCCAGGAGAGGTTATAATTGCCAGGCTACTCAGGGACTACAGCTGTGAGAGGAAGTGAGGAGGAGCTAGGTAATTTTATAGGCCTGCAGTCATGCTAGTCCAGGTCCATTCCCCTCATGCTAATTTAAAAGCACATCTGCCTCTGACTTTGACAGCAGGAGGGACAGAAGTGGGAAAGAAGATAGGAGAGAATGAGGAAACAGGAATTATCTACCCTATTAGCAGAGCAAATGGGAAATTGCAGGACATTCTGGCCCGTGCTGTATTGACAAAAGGATCTGTTAAGACAGAAGCACTTTCGGTAACTCCTGAGCAGTCTGCTGCAGGTTATCCACATTGCTGCACAAGTTCCCAGCAATTTCTGGGCCAAATTTACTGTAATTTTCCAGTAACCCACTCAATGACCTCTCAGCTGGCTGCTCTAAGGGCTCTGCAACTGCTCATGGAATTGGAGGGGGTTCAGGCTGCTGATAAGCACCCGCGTCCATTTGACCGTCTCTTATCTGTAGCTCATTTCAGTTTGCTAAAGGCCCTTGTGCACATTTGTCTAAGCACTGTTTTCAGAGCTATAGACTGCTTCAGAAGCCCTCAGGAAACACATTCTCTTCCTCTCTTGTAATAAGAGTAAATCCCAGTTTTCCTGCAAAAGACTTTCTTAGATGAGACATATACCTAGGTATGTGTATGTATATCTATATGCTGATATGCATATGTAACTACATGCCATTTTGCCTGCATCTATAAATAGGGTGACCATATGTCCCAGCTGGGCTGGGACAGTCCTAGATTTCGGAGGCTGGTCCCGGCCATCTGGTGAAAATTAAAACAAGTGTGCTGGGCATGGGGTGCAGGGCAGCACAAACTGTGAAATACAAAGTCGTAGCAGACAGCAAAATGGCACTAAAATAGGTTCGCTTGATTAATGGAGTGACAATTAAAAACGGGAGATGATTATAAACACCTGTGAAGTAAAGAACAATGGGTCGTTAATGAGGCATTGATTCCCTTAGCTGCCTGAATAGTAATACCAGAGCTGCACCACACTGCTTCACCCCTGCCTCTGCCTGCAGCAGCACCATTGACCTGATGGGCTAGGGGACAGTGACCCAGATCTCACATTGTCTCATATGGTCACCCTATACTATAAGCCACTCTCTGCAACTCTGCAATCTCTATTTGAACATCCATATGAAGGCCTGGTTTTCAAAGCACTTCCATAGGAATTGGTATGATATTTGCAATTAAAGCAGGTAAATCAGGAAGTGAGGGCTCAAGTTGTTTGCCTTAGAATATTTTGGCCTAAACATATGGCAGACTTAGATTTTGTTGGAAAGATTAGCTTTCTGGTATTTTAAATGTTATATGCCATAGCATAATGCCTTTCAACTGTACCACGCTGCACAGTGATGTAAAACACTGCACATTCTGATATATACCTGTATATCTATTGGCACAGGATTAATAGTGCTCTAATCAAAATTCAAAGTAGACAGAAATTCAGATTTGATAACACTGACATCTCACAGGATCCTATCAAAGGGTTTTGGTCTAAGGAATCAGAGATCATGCAGAATGCTTGTACAATTGTTGCATCATCAAATAATGAGACCAACAACAGCTGTGGCTCTGAATGTAGGATCAGTTTTGCAGGATGTCTTTAATGATGGGCCTTCTCAGCAATTAGAAGGGTTTGGGACCAACTGTGTTATTGTGTCCACATAAACATATGTATCTATCTAGGAAAATAGGTTAAGTTCTGGTTTTATCCCATAGGTACCATAATACTATGATTCTAGCACTTAGCTAGCTCGGATGTGCTCACAAAATAAAAGTTTCTCTTTGTTGTAGATCCACCGAAACAATTATAAAGACACCCTTCCCCCCCCCCCCCCCCCCCCCCTCTCTTCCTTCCTCTCTCATCAATACAGAAATGAGGAAGGGCTCACCCTCCCATATTCTCTTCTTTCCTATGCAGCTACAGCCAATACATGAAATCCTACATAGAAGCAATCTGGGTAATATTGAAACAAAAAGGCAAAACCTGAAACGGGCTTTGGATGATTACCTATTGGAGTTCAATGCGTGCCGCTGTGGTCCATGTCAGAACAATGGTGAACCTGTGCTGATAGGAGATATCTGTTTTTGTCATTGCCCAGCAGGTTATGATGGCCCTGCATGTGAACAGACTAGACGCATAGGTAGGATGTTGTACATGCGTGTTTGGGTGTGGGGAAAAGATGGAAACAATGAAGTGCTTCTCCCTCTGCAATGCTAATCAGCAGCTATTTGAATCTATCCATCAATCAAACCTTCACTTCTATATCACCTTTCATGCCAAGCAGTCTTCTGGGCTTTACAAAGGAGTAAAATTAACAGCGTAAGTAATTATTATAAATATGCCTAGCTAAACAAGGGAGGTTTTAATAGCTGGAGACTTGTCAGCATTGCAAATCGACAGAGACAATTGAAGAACAGCAGAAGGAAATAGTTCTGAAAGCCAAAAATCTTGCCCTGCTTGCTGAGCAACATCAAGCTGTGTTTTACTAGGCCTTGGGCACCATTCAGGGTGTGTGTATATATATATATGACCAGCATTCTTAACCAGGTTGCCATGATATTCTGCAGTGCCACAAGGTCCTCTTAATGGTGCCATTCAGTATTAACATTGATAGTGTGCAAACATGGTACAGGATTTGGTCAGGAGGCATGAGGATGTAGAGGTGAGTAGGAGACTCCTGGGGTGGGACAGCATGGTGTAAAATCACTGCTGTAGTCAAACACATTGTCAACCAAAGATTTTTTTTACTGATACTCTGCAAACATTTTACTGATAAACATTTTTACTATGGTTGGTGCTAAGTCCCTATATTTGAACCCAGAGCTTGTCCAGAGCCTGGTAGAAGGGTTATAGTTACATTAGATAAAATAACTCAGTCAAAAAGTTTGTCAGAAAAAAAGTCAGATTGTCAGTAAAAAAAAAGTCTTGGGGTGGCAACCCTGCTATTGACATGTCAGAGCATATTGTAATTGAAAAGTCCTGGAATGACCCTCCAACATAGAAATGAAGCAGACTTTCCTAACGCAGCTTCTCTAATGTGACCTGCCTGGCATGAGACAGAAATGTATTCTTTTACCTTCTTGTCAGCAAGTTGCTGGCATGTATCATTGATGACTTAGGAAAGAAAGGCCAAATTGTAATCTTTCAAATTATCAGAAGGGTAGCAAAAAGCAACAGCTACCAATTTGAATAGCAAAATGTTTCTTAATAAAAGTGATCTTCAAAATGCCCCAGAAACATTGATCTGCACAACAGTCCTACATGCCAGGTAAGGATCAAGGTTGCGGAGATTGTCAGTGCCAATGTGAGGGTTAGAGCAAAATCATTAGTTTATCATGGCAAGGTCTGACTCCTCTTTAGAAACTGCAGCTGGCTGCTCCGGCTTTTAAGTGTAGCTTGCCACTGTACTAAAACTTAGCTTTCTATTGAAATGAATAATAAAATTCTTATAATCTAATGCATTTTAAAAAAATCATTTTTACAGGCAGTAAGACAAATGGTAGATGGAGCTGCTGGTCACCCTGGACTCCCTGCCAGTCTGGAACAAAGACACGTACAAGGCAATGTAATAACCCAGCTCCACAAAATGGTGGGATACGGTGTGCTGGAAGGAATGTGGAGACAAAGGCATGCTAATAGCTGGCTAGGACTGGAATAAGTAATGAAACTGCTTAATGCAAGTAGATGGTTGATAGTGTTTTGTATAGGAGATCTGAATTGGGCTATAAATACCCTTGGCATAACTCTGCTCGGTGGAATTCCACCAGTGATAAACAGTTTTGAACTACCGCATTTACATTCCTAGGAAGACGTAGCAGATTCACACCCAATAAAACCCAATCACTGTTCAATAAGCTTCACAGTCGAAATTCGGTATGCACCAAAATACACACGGGCCATTTTAATGCAATAACATTCATTTTACCCTCAACTTGGGATGACACAGGAGGAGAATCAGGACCCATGGGTTTTACTGAAGAGCCATGGGGTTATGACAAGTCATAAAGCATACTTCTTATAACTGTTTGCATAGTAAGCTGCGCTAACCAAAGGTTTTTTGTATTTGCCTTTGGAAAACAAATTAAAAGCTTGTGGTTTTTGCACGTGTACATGTATTGTTTTGGCACGTTCATTATCTCACTTCTATCACTGTAAAACAGACAACTAGGATCTAGTAGCTTGCCAATGTCAGAACTTCAAGCGCAGCATAGTGGGCAGGTTCCTGTTTCCAGGGAAGGCAAATGGTGATTTCAATAGGACCAAGGACGCTAAAGTTCTCTGATGAACTATTAATAAAAAACTGATGAGGAATTTTTAAAAATGGAGGCAAATGAAACTGTTCTTCAGAGGACCTTCTTGCACAAATGAGGCCATTCCTCTTTAAGATTAGTGATGAATTCACTATTAGAACAGTGGCATTTTATCTCCAAGGCACCCAGAGTTGGAGAAGATGTTAACAGGCTTGTTGATTTAAGACCCTTTTTTTGAATGTAAGACGTAAATCTTAGCACAAGAATACGTACAGTATTGAACTGCGTCCAAAGACTGCAGCGAGAGCCCACAGCTCTGCATTCATAATGAACTGCTGCAAAAACCCAGGGTGGGAGAAAGTGAATGGCACCGAGTTTTCTTGTGCTCTTCATTAAAAGAAAGAAGAAAAAGGCCATGGGAGCAAATCAGGTCTTATACAAAATAAGAAGTACAGCCAGGGATACTTCTTTACATCTTTGAATGAGAGGGAGGGAGAGAAATGGGGTCATCATCTAGGGAAGATTGTTTTGTTATTAGTGTTTTAAAACACGCTCATTTTTTTTCAACAATGTGCCACTATTGAGTTAGGCCCACATGCTTAGAGGGTGTAAATCAGCATAGCTCCAATGACTTGGCTGACTTACGATAGCCAAAAATCTGTCCACATCATTTTTTTAATAAGTTTGGCAGAAAGACAAATATTTATTTCACTTTCTCCTTGATCCCCCACTTCCCCCAGGAGGTTCCACAAGCAAAAGCTCGAAGCAATTTCTTTTCTAGGAAGGAACAACCAGCTTCTATGGAAATGACAAATAACTCCACAACACTGGCAAATGGTCGATAATTCAGGATTTGGCAACTTTTTGTCATCGTTGTACCCAAACACAAACAGCACTTGACCCTGCTGTGGCAGGACATGCAACCACTGAAGAGCCCCATTGAAAACTGCCTGATGGCATGGATCAGCCCATGAACAGGGCTGTCATACTCAGGCTTTTTATTTGAATAGCCTACCCTACAGTATGATAACTAACAGACAAATGGCATATTTGGTGGGGAAATATAGCGCAATGCAGTTCTACCAGTGATTCATTTAGTGCTTAGTTTTTCTCTTTACCCTGGCCTTTTATGGCTGAATAAAATGATGGAAGGGGAACTAGTATGAAATAGATTTTAGCTAGAAGGCGGCAAGTGTGCACCATTTGGACAAGGGGAAGAATGAACCGAATGGACTTGATACATTAAAAAAAAAAAAATAGGAGACCACTTGCCCCGTCTTTTCAACCACATTGTAGAAGGACAAATCACAGGGTTGGGAAATACAAAACAGGAACAATGACAAGTGATCAAAGAAACGGAAAATGCAATAAAACCCACCAAGTGGGTATCTAGGCAACAGGAATAAACAAGGGCAAACCCCTTAAAGGAGGGCAAACTCCTGAAACAGGAACTGGGAATTCAACCTGAGTTTTCCTTTATCCATTCTGAATGCTGCAATATTTCAGTCTGGCGATCAAGACAAGGCAACACAGTGGACAAAGTGTTTGTCATTCGCCTCGCAACAAATGACAGCAAAATACAAACACTGAGGCTTTGTTCAAATGACAAAGAGAAAGACACCTCTCTCCCTGTACTCCAGTTCTCCCCCTTTCATCTGGGGCTCAGATATGCTCAGTGCTAAAACTCAGAAGTCAGAGCAACAAAGATGAAGCACGGAGAAGAGAGAACCTGCCTGTAAGGTCTATAGAAGATTATGAGCAATTACACATTTCCAATGATAGTCCAAGAAACTAATATGACTCATGCTGAAGTGCTCAGCCCATGAGTTGCATCAAATGAGATTTTAAAAAGTCAGGTGTTTGCCTAAAATAAAAGCTTAGGCTGTACATTACACCAGTGCAGCTCTAGTCTGCTTCTAATGGATGAATTTTGCCCTCATGCATGCTGACATACAGTTGATGTAGCTATTTATCCTATATATTTCTTCTGGGATATTTCCTGGGAGACCTTGTTTATCTCTTTTAATAAGTACATGATGGATGTATGGTGCTCTGGATAAATGGTATAACAATCCAGTGTTTTTATGGATATAAGCAAACTGGTTTATTAACAAAGGAAGGGCAGAGAGGAACCAGTACACAACAGAAAATAGCAAATGATTGATGACAATACACCTTAGGTTGCAAGGTGCAGACTCAAGATAACTGGGTAACAGAAGAGCAGATAATGGCAGAGCTTGAAACAGAGATCTGTTTTCTACCTGGAGGTCAATGCCATGCTGACTACCTGACTAAGCCCCTTTGAGGCTGGGGTTTTACAGCAATCCAGAATCCCCAACACTAACTGCTTTAAAATTGCTGCCTTCCTTCTTGTGTACAATGCATTAATGATGTGCATAAGCAAATAAGCTGGCCCTGTAAAAGAAATTACACTCTAAATCCTCAGCAGGGGAGCTGAGAGGTTTTGCTGCATGTTGTAGAATTTGCTGAGAACAGTTGGGCCCTGCGCTCTACATCACAAATGAGGACGATGAAGAGAAATATATTTTTATTTGCACTGGAGTTTTCCAAGTGGGACAAAGTTAAAATGCAACTGTATCACACAATGTTGGTGGCATAATTTGTCCAGCGTTATGGCAATTCTGCCGGGCACCTAGCAAAAGACGGGATGTCCTCATGGTTAGAGGCAAAGACTTGGAGTTCAGAAACATGGCTCTACTAACAGCCTCAGTAGGGACCTTGTTGCACCTCCCAGCCATGCAGGAGGTGGACAAGTTTATCCAACTAGCCTGAGGCATCCCATTTGGCCAGTCAACCCAGCCAGGTTGGCCTGTTTCAGCTCCTGCCAGGCTGGAGCTGAAGCCCAGAGAAATGACTCATATAAGACTACAGGGGTGGGATTAAAACTCAGGGGGCACATCTACATGTGCAATTAATGCAAAGCAATAAACTCAGGCTAGCTGGATAAATGTGTCCACCTCCTGTGTGGCTGGGAGGTGCAGCAAAGTCCCTACTTAGGCAAGTTTATTGTTCCTGGATGCACCAATTGAACATGGGCCTAGGACTGCAGCACATTGAACTGAGTTGGAGCAGTCCTAGCTAGCAGTGGGCCCCAGAGGTCTTCCTGCCAGTCCAGGGCTGGCTGCAGCACAAGGCTGCTCCAGCACAGGGCTAGCCAGCAGGCAGCCGCTGCACTGAAGCACCCTCGTACCCCAGCCAGCCCCATCAGCGTCTATACGTGCACTGCTGCGGAGTGAAAAACAAATACTATCCTGCTGCAGAATTAATTAGTTTACTCCAGCCTAATGGAGGTGCACATGTAGATATGCAATGTATACTGTGGATCTAGTTAGTCTACTTTGCAGCAAACACCTGGTGTAGATGCACCCAGGGATTCCAAATCTCATCCTCAGGCACTACACTGAGAGCAGCAGCCCCTATCTTTGCACTTGGATTTAAAGGGGCACTTTCTGATGTAAATTAGCTGATAAGTCAGGGGGCATGACTGCCTTTCAGGTGACTAAAGCCCCAGTTTTTGCACATGCCAAGGTTGTGCCTGCCAGTGCGGAGCTGGGCTGAGACATCCATGAAAATCTGACCCAGTGGTTTTAATGAAGGAAATGTCTACATGGGTTGCTGGGAAGGCTGTTGTGGGAAATAAGCACTTGATATATTGGATTATTATGCTCTTGAGCCCTTTTCTCAGGACAGATTAGATGTAGTCAAGAGTAACTAGCTGGTTCTCAATTACTCTGGTTTGATATCATGGATACCTGGGATGCAAGACACCTAAACCAGAAAAAAGTAAGAATTGAAGAAAAGGACTAGAGGAGTAGCATAGATCTGGGCCATGAGCACACACTGTATACATCTGGATTTCTCACTACAGTGCTCTCATGTTTGCATATATGAGATATTAATCCAAATTTCCACAGGCATTAGAAATACCAGTAAAAGACTATAGCAAAATTTAATATGTAGCAAAATGAAGCAATTAAAGCTTCAGCATTAGTACTTTTATTACCCCAGATCATAATAAATCATCAGTTAGTTAAGTCAAGCTCAGAATCACAAGGACAAGATAAAGTTCTGTCCTTAAAGGTTTTCAAGGCTCACAGGTTCACAAATGAACCTCCAACATGAAATATGCTTAAATAAAAATATCCCTCT